TATTTCACCTCTTGAATAATTCTTATTAAAAGCCAAAGCTTTAAGTATATTCACTGTTTTTTTTTCAGAGTATATTCACCGGTTTTTCTACTAAAAATTGATTTTTCTGGAAATCCCCGAAAGCTTTTAAGAGCAATACAAATTAGCGTGGCAATGCCCTCATTTAAAAGACAGGGCCAAACTATGGAAAAAGTCGACAAGCTGAAATTTAAAATTTTCGATTTCCGTCGTATGCAATGACAGATTTGATAAGTCATATAAAAGATATTTATAAATCATATAATAAAGCAGCTATCGCCCGGGTCAATATTATTTTTTTCAGTACATATCACATCATATTCACCAGCTAAAAAGTCCATATTTGTATAATATTTGAATATGTGTACTTTTACAATAGCAAAGTCAGTAACAGGCGGTTCTGTGTGTAGATGATTTGACACTCATGCGTCATTATAGATCCTAGACGTGTTTCAATTATAGAATGCATTATTCGTTATAAGATATTCAAAGAACTTGTGAAGGAATTCAATCCTTTAAGGCCAAAGTTAGTTATAACACATTCTCAATAAATTGCGCCTTGCTGGATAGTAAAGCTTTTAGTAAAATCAAATGTAAATGATATAATTGCATGAATACGATGCAATTCCGAGGCTAACTTCTCAGACAAAATGTCTTTGACCGTAAAGGGTCTATATACTGAATATAGCTTTCAAACAAGACAGATCAATTATTGTCTCAAAATACTAATACGTTTAACTCTTTAATCGCCATGGACTCTTTTAGCCTGCCTATGAATTGGAAACGTTTTGTTTCTTTGGAGATAAGAACAAATGGAATTATGAAATGAAACATTATTATCAAGGAAATTAATTGTTAAATGTAAATTCTTACACGCTTCACACTAGTCCCCTATCAAACGGATAGAATTGACAAGAGCATAATAACACGATAAAAGCACAGCACAAATAAAACGAATGCTAACTCGCCATATGACGTCAAATACAACGTCAATAAACCTAAGCTCAGTGTAGTTCAGCATATTTTGATCAATTTTTTTTTATATAAGCATGTTAGCATGGTAATGAATATTAATTTGTCTTGCATTGTAGTATAATAATGCGGTTTGTCGTTCAAATGCTGTGTAAGTAATCACTGAGACCTGTTGGCATTCGTGATTATATTACTTGGACTCGAACCATGCATTACGTTTCAACAATGTACTCAAAATTGATATCTATTTTTGAAATAGCTTATGGGTATAGTACTAACACGTTAAGTGGTATTCCGTTTAAATTGAAATAAGTAATAAAAAGAGCATAGAAACACTAGGCTATCTGATTTGTACGAGGGGCTACGTATTAATCAGATTGCCGAGTGTTTTGATGTTTTTTTTCACTTTTGTATCATAGTCAAACATAAAAACATGTTCCCGCTCGTCACAAAATGAAACCCCGGAAAATTAGTTACCAATGAACGGGCATCTGAATATGATATTTCTGTCGCTTGCCCTTTATCTGCCCCCCCCCCCCAGCAAATGTGCCAATCGATGGGCATGCTCTGGAGTGTGGGTAACTGCAATCCAGTTAACGTACTGCGCATGTAAATGTATGCTATCTAACTCTAGCACATTTTCAACAAAAAGTTCCCCAAACTATGATACAATGTATGTTTAAAAATCAAAGGCATCAGAAGCTTGGTAAGAAATAAAGCAAATGAGTATCATTATGTAAACTAACCAAAACAAAGAAAAACGTTTAAACGTTCAGACCGTGCTTATTTACGAGAAAGAAAATTTAACTGACCATTACATTATGGATATATTTTCATAGTTTTTTTTTTTTCATCTTTTGCAAGTTTCCCTTTTGAAGCATTTGAATTAAAGGCAATATATGAAACATTTCATATACATGAATATGTAATTAGCAGTTTATTGTTGAGTAATGTTTAAATTCAGTTCCAGCTGTTATTTAAGAATACTTTAAAGAGCACATATCATAAATTTGTGTTTGACATAAACGATTATGAAGATGATAATCTAGGTCTATTTATAACAGAAATGGTGAAATCATTTGAAAAATTTAATTGACAAATAAGCACTTTTTTACGATCTGAAAATCTTGTTGTGTTTTACATTACATTTCTTAATGGGCAGCTATATAATTGGTCCATGTTAACTTCATATACTCACTTTTATACATGTATATCAAACATCAAAATGAACGCTGATATTAGCCGACCTAATAACCTTGATTTTTTTTCTTTATTTTAAATATATGAAATGCTTGAAATAATGTTCATGTAAAAAAATTCAGATGTAATATTGAATTTTGATAACAGCAGACTTAAATTTTGTTCAATTGACCTTAGTTAAATTGGCTTTTGGGCCAAATATTTATTCCTGAACATATTGATCTTTAAGTCTTCAAAAACGTAAAATGGTATTAAGTTCACAATTTTTATAAAGAAAAAAAGCTATTATATTCATTAAAGTTCACAAACAACTTTTTTATCAATGCAAATAATAAGAAGGCGTTTTTAGTTATAATAATAAAAGGCCGGAGGCTTTTATTTACATATAATTGTTGGATTGAATAAGTACAGCATATATTCCGGCTGTCTGTTTTAAAAGGTGTCGGCCAATTATATTACTGACTAACAAGTACCTTAAGAGCAGTGTTGCCCAAGTAATTGTCTGTTTCTACTTGCAGTACGAAAAGCATCAAAATAATTCAAAATATAAATATTAACAACGTAAACAACAATTCAGACATAAAGGGAGATAATTGTGTATATTTTTGTAGTATATTTTGAACAAAATTGTCTCCATTGTGTCGAAAAAACGCATTTCAGCTACGCCTTTTGGACTTTGAGCTCTGTACAATATGTTGTTTTTTTAAACAGGAAACGTTATCTATGCGACATTTTCAGAAATCAAAAACAACTATAATCAACTTGAAAAACGCAACTTGTATGTGTTAAAATGAAAAGACAATGCGCATTATTTGAGAAATGTTGCTACTAGCCAATACCTTTTGCAGGTTTCTGAAGTTGAAAATGAGGCTTCTTACCAGCATTACGAAACAACAAAGACAATGTTGGCCAATCGTCAGATACTAAAATTTACAGAATAACAATACCCACATAAAATTATTAACGACGCTAATAAGCAAGGGCGCGGGGCGAAGGTTGATGAATAAAACCTTGATTGCGTGGGCGTGCAGCAAGATTTAAGAAATAAAACGGCTAGGTCGCGGGACGAAAACACGCTCATTACCGGGGTCGCGTGGTGAAGTTTAATAAACAAAACTTCCCCGCGACCCCTCGCTAATAAGCGTGTTTTCGTCCCGCGACCCCACCAAGCGAAAAGTCAATAATTAACATGTTAAAATGGCGGGAGCACGCAGCAAAAACATGCTTATAAGCGAGGGTGCGGGGCGAAGTTTAATAAATAAAACTTCGCCCCGCGGTAGCGCAGAGCGAGATTAAAGACGCGGGGCGAAAACACGATAATTAGCGGGGCGCGGGGCGAAGTTAAATAAATAAAACTTTGTCGCGGGCCCTCGCTAATTAGCGTGTTTTCATCCCGCGACCCCGCCATGCGAAATGTCGATAATTTTCAAGTTAAAATGGCGGGGCGCGGAGCGAAAACTCACTAATTAGCGGGGGCGTTAATTAACGTGTTTTCGCTCCGCGCCCCCGCCGTTTTATTTCTTAAAGCGGGGCGAAATTTTATTTATTAAACTTTGCCCCGCGCCCTCGCTATTTAACGTGCGTTCGCTCCGAGCCCCCGACCTTAAACTTGTGAATTATCGACTTTTCGCTTGGCGGGGTCGCGGGACGAAAACACGCATGGAACAAATCAATCACCATATTATGGACTTAATTATCTGCAGAAGTTTCCAAATTCAAATCTCACATATAATATTATATTCATTAACTACCATCCATGAAGAGGTTTAATCAAGGATGCAATTTTTTAAATTTTGCCGTTGTTGCGTTTCTTTAGGGATTATGTATTTTTTAGACTATTTTATCACCTAAGGCTACATGCTTACTATAAGGATTGTGTTTATGCGGCTTGGCCCGTGAGTCAAGAGGTTTTTCCTTTTTCAAATACATGAATTCAAAAATAATTTTATAAAATTATAGTATTAGTCTTACATTTTACTGGTCTGGAAATGGTTTTAAAGCCAGTTTTACCCTAGATGGATGCCCCATCTGTGTTAAAATGTCGAAGTCTTTTATTGACAGTTGACGGGGACGGATCAGACCCCAAGTGTCTGTGGGTCCAGGAACTTCTGGACTACACTTCTTAAATGTCGTACATGTTTCAAAAAGCACGTTTATATTAGTAGTTATAAAAATGTTAGGGATTTATGACCCTATATAACCGGTTGTTTGCATATATAACCCAAGCCCCTATGTGACATCACTGCAAATTAAAAATGAAAAAAAAAAGACATTGTATCTAGATTATTGACCTTTTTGCACTGGAAACAATACTAAATGTAAAACAGATAACGTCATTAGTCTTATCAATTGTGTTATCATGCTTACTTTAACCGCCTGTTAAATTAGGACAATTGCAAAAGGACAGAAACAGTGTCATTGGACGGAATGACTTTCAGGAGCAGAATGATATTTCGTCTGCTTTGTAAGTATTTAATTTATTTTATGCACAAGTGCAGACAGTAAACAATACACGGTTTCTAAGATACATTAAAAGAGTGATGTTATCATTTTAATAATATAATTGTGTGTTTCCGCACAATATTTTTCCTTAACAAATTTCCAACATTTGATGTAGTGACTAATACGTACACTCAGATTTTTTCTTGGTAGTAATTTTCACGTATATTTATATTTTTTTGGTAATTTTTTTGTTGTTTTGCCGGCTGCATTTGTGCAGCAAAACAAAACAAAAGATCGATGGAACTACTCCGGTGCACGTTCGTACCTAAAATGAGTTAGAAAATACCAAAACTGAGGTAGAAATACCAAAAATGCGGTAGAAAATACCTTAAATGAGGTAGGAAAGGGGCTTGACCAGTCTGACCTGTGAATCCGTAAAATGTCGACAGGTAAACTTCGTCGTGTAAGGCTTAAGCGTTGTTGTCCATGAAACTAAAAAATATACATAAATGTATAAAACACAAAAAATTGACTATCCTAATAAATAATTAGTCTATACTGCTTACATAAAAGTTATTTTTTATTCTTTCTTAGGGATTGTCGTTGTTTTACAACTTTGCATTATTGGAACAGCGGGTAAGTATCTATTTCAAAATTGTAAATTCTACCTTGAAAACTTGTCTATTTAAGGAGGAATGCATGCAAACTATTATTTTCTTCAATGTATGACATATATCATTGAATAATGCTGTGCAACTGGCTATCTGCCTGTAAAACAGATTTTGAAATATTTAGAATTGTGTTTCTGGCCACACTGACTTACAAAATTGTTCATTTTTAGGTTCACTGCCCCCTCATCAACTAGTATGTGAGCCCAGACGTTTTGTTTATCTCCATTATATCAGTCGGAACATTTCGGCTATTATCAATGTATCCGAAGACTTACGGAAAGGGCCAAAAGTTACGATTGATCCGATCAGTCTAATTAAGATATTTGTTACATAATATGATACTTGCTTATATGTACTATGTTCATTCAATTACTAGGCATACCCATCCCTTATTAATCGTTGAGTAAATGTTTCAGATTTTATAAGATAAACAGTTTTTTTTTCTTTTTCTATATCTTATAACCTTTTCAGAACTCTTACTTATTTATATTTATTTATCATTCCAACGATTGTAGCTCTACAGTGTTACAACTGTATTAACATATCCGATGCGGACGAGTGTTTGTCGATAACGGAATGTGGGACAAGTCAGGTAAATGTTCTTAAAATGAGGAATTCAGCTTGTCATAAACAGATCAGTCTGATAATAAAAGAATACTCCTTAATGCTACTGATTTCGTTTAGTAGCTTTAGTTGTGGTAAAATGCTGTACGCCTTTCAACAACAGTGTCGGTTTAAGCCCTACTGATCACGACCATGTTCCCATATATGACACCACAATACTGGTTAGTTCCAGAATGATAAACGGACAAAGGGGGGCAAACGTCCGGGTGACAATTGTCCGGCGGCAAATGTCCTAGAATCATTCAAATAAGCTACAAGACTAGTAGTGTTTAATGAAGACTGTTAATACAAGTGTACCACGTGACTAAAACCTACATGTGTAACCAACTTTTTTCGGCCACAGACCGGTCTGTTTTCAGTTTGACTTCCTGAAAATTTACCGAAAGAACTGAATATAAAAAGAGTTTTCATTTTAAAATTACAAAATGAAATATTGGAACCTCATTGGCAATTCTAAGATAAAATATAAAAGAAAGTTCTTGTCATTCTAAGGTAGTTCTAAACTAACATGTAAAGGATAGGTCTTGCCATTATGAAATAAGTTGTAAAGGTTAGTTTTAAAATAAAATGTACATGATATATAGTTCTGTAACTTTCTAGTTACATTGTTAAGATATTTCAGTTCTGTTTAAACATACTCTTTACTTTTAGATCGTATAACATTGTATAGTGAACAGTTTATTCTATAAGAAGTTACTGAGTTTATTTTACACAAGATCTGAGTTTTAAATTTTGTCCAAAATAACGAGCATATTATCAGGTACCCTTAGTTTTTGATGTTCAATCAGTGTCTAATACATTTTATGATTATTGATTTGTTCAATTGCTATAATGTTTATTATTTCTTATATTTTTGCATATTGTTCAAGTATTTATAAAAAATAATTGCCTTACCGACAGCGTAGATGTAGGTGTTAGAAATTGAGTTCACTTACTGAAACACGACAGAAACTCATACATCTTAATGTGTTCCTTTTTCAAGATTAATAACCTTACAAAAAATATTACGTCAAGTTAACTAGTTTTACTCCGGTCGAGTATCTTTTTTTAAATATTCTTCTTGTTTTCTATTATTAAGAAGTAATTAAATGACATATTTTATTCCCAGTCGTGTTACATGGACACATCTGGAAAAACCGTTACCCTAGGATGTACAGATAACCAGGTAGTAGACAAGTCTTAGATTGACAATATTATCAATGAATTATTACATTGTACTTATTATATTGAATCATATTTCTTCTTTAATCTGGATTATATTGCGGACCTTAGTAAACTTCGTAATTCACGGAGTGAGCATCAATCTTAAATATATGAGCGCCTCATATCACCAAAATCTAATAGTACATCCAATATAATCTTTTTTACGAGCAGCAATGTGGTGTGAGTGCTGGTGCGGCCGGAAGTTTAGTTGGTAGAGGTGTTAACAAACGACAACAAACTCAATGTCACGAGTGTTGCAGCATGGATAAATGCAATAAGAACCTGTGTTCTCATCTGAAACGTAAATACTTTTCCTCAAAACAAAAGTTTGAAATTGTGTTCTGTTTTTTCCACCAACCGAAGAAACAAATTATTTTATAAAAAGCTAAATTAAAATATAATTATGTGTTATCAAATAATATCAGTACTTTATATTTTAACACTTGTTGGTTTTAGGCATCCTTTTGGGTACAAACTGATTTCATGAATATTTGTGAACAGGATATCGTGATTTTGTGTAAATGTCAAATTTGAGTAAACACAGTGCATAAGAAATTTCATTAAAATCACCTTTACACCGTATCAGTTACAGTATCGCGTTTTCCAGTTACAGTATAGAATTTTCAAGATGGAGGATAATTTATGGGAAGAGAGGTAGGTGATTTTTATTCAGGTCCATACTACAAGTAGTTTAGTTTCTTTCTAAAAGGTGTTGTTATTTTTTGCTTTGCTTGTAAGGAAAAGGATCCGGTATCTAGTCATACATTTCGTCAGAACCTGCACCGCAGATTTATCTCTATATTGTCTTATAAATGTGCAGATTTGACGGTTTGAAAATTTGAATCGAGAGACATACACATTTTTCTCCCATGCCGACATTATTTATGCATGCATAGATAAAGTAAATCTACAAAACGTTAGTGCTTTGTGTTTAGAAACGTTTATAAAAGTAAATGACCAGTTAAACCTTTTTTCCTGTTCGTCAAAAGCAATTGAAAAAATAAACAATGTAACAGTATAGGGCGAGGTGAATTTTGCTGGGTTACAGCATAGACCTAGCGATTTTGATCCAATTTTGTTACAGTTTATACCCAGATTTCGGTTACAGTTTAGATACTTGCCAAATTTCAAACAAAGCTCGTGTATCCATTATTTTTTTATGAAATAACTCATACCTATCTATTTAATACATTCTTGAAAGTTTATACATGTATTACTTTTTTTCTTCAGCAGAAAAGTTATTATAGTTTGCTATGTTCCTTACTTTAAATTTCAGATTGAGACTTTTTGCAGAATAAGTAATGTCCCAAGTAAGGACTGTTTTCACGACAACAACAAATTTTTATCTTTTATCAAATTGTATGGAGAGAAGAAAGATTATTGCTTGATTCCATTACACATTATAATAATGCCTATTAGTAATAAAAGAGAGAAAAACAGAATCCTTAACAGAAGTCCAACACGGAAAACATGAAAATTTGATTGAGACTGTTCATGGACGGAAGTGGTAACTGCAAGCTACCGTCCACGCCTCCTAGCACCGGCTTCAGCAGAATTTACATTTAACATGAACTGGTAAACTTAAGATTTTTTAACATCTGTGGATGTGTTCATATTGCGGTTATCATGGAACGTTCAATATGACACGTTATTGTCATTCCATGAAAAGCGTCATATTACCCCCAGGTTAACAATTGCGTGTGCTCTAAACGAGAATACAATGAGTGAAACTAAATAAAATGAAATTTTGAGAGGGATCGGAGGTTATAAAGCCTGCATACCACAGATAAACTGTCAAAAAACACAATTAAAAAGCAGGCAATACCCTAAGGGTGATTAAACAGTATTTAAGTGAGAAATACTGCAACCTTAAAACTTATTTTAAGTTGTAATTTCCATCTAGAATAAGGTATTTTGTAAGTATTTAAAAGGGTGGGCTACGTTTTGTTTTCTTGGATTTTAAATTTCAACGACACTGATGTCATGTGATAACATTCCTGCTTTAGTGTAAAGAAATACCCCAGATACCCTTTGTAAAATATTTCAGACACGAGCTGGCACCTGACTTGAACCACCGACCTTCCGTTAACTAGATTGATAGATTCCTCACATACAAAGAATCCAAAGTCATGATGGGATTTCAATCACAGCAGTAATGGAAAGATGAATTGAAGTCGGCGACCTTATCCCGACTCTGCCACTATTATGTACCTCCATCAGGATATTGTAATTGTCTGGCCTTAATTTATACTTTCAATATTATTTTCTTTTTCAGAAACATGAAAACTTCTATACAGGATGTGTGGAATTAAAAAAAAACGACTTTTAATTTAAAAATGACAAAATAAACTTGCCTTCATCAAAGAAGCATTCAAAATGACGCCATGATCATGATTTGATTTGAATGCTTAAAATAATCTTTAAACATTGCCTTTATTTTGGGTTTTCGTATCCCCGATTGCAACCGAGACCATTTGAACACCTTTGGTAGAAAGTTACGTACAATTTCATCACATTTAGTCAAGAAGTTACAGAGCGGATGAGATTACACATACACATGTGTACGACAGACGGACAAATAGCCATTGGGCCAATAAGCTCACCAGTTGGTTTTCTAGAGATTTAAAAGTCTATATATCATTCATACATTTTACCTAGTATATAAAGAAAATATCGAAGTCTAAACTGTAACCGAAATCTGGGTATAAACTGTAACAAATCGGATAAAAAAAAACGCTAGATCTATGCTGTAACCCTACACAAATCACCTCGCTCTATACTGTAACATTGTTTATATTTTCAAACTCATTTAACGAACAGGAAAATAGATTCAACAGGTCATTTACTTTTATAAACGTTTCCTAACATAAAGGACTAACGTTTTGTAGATTTACTTTTTCTAGGCATGCAAAAATAATGTCGGAATGGGAGAAAAATGTGTTGGTCTCTCGATTCAAATTTTCAAACCGTCAAATCTGCGTATTTATGAGACAATATAGAGATAAATCTGATGTGCAGGGTCTGAATAAATATATGACTAGATACCGGATTCTGTTCCTTACAAGCACATCACAAAATCATGTTCAAGAAACTAAACTACTTGTAGTATGGACCGGAATAAAAATCACCTACCTGTCCTCCCACAAATAATCCTCCATCTTTCAAATTCTATACTGTAACCGGAAAAAGGGATACTGTAACACGTTCCCTACGGTGCTTTAAGGATATTTATTTTGTTATCTCATGCCAACCATAATTGTGGAGATTCTCAAAATGTATTTTGGTATCAATTGATAAATAATTAATACTTTTAATTTTGCAAATAAAGAGTTTCCGCTAAAAAACATATTAAGATTAACACAGAATTGGATTCCCTAGCTACATCCAGATTATTTTTCACAGATGTGTAAGAAAATATATAATTGTTGTAATGTTGTAAGACCATATTTTTAATGAAAGAAAATATAATTACAGCTGGAACATGTATTGACGATGCTAAAGCCGACTGTGCATGGATGAATACATTTTTCAACATATGTCAAGATATTCATCACGCAAAATTAGTATGTCCTAAGTTCTGCGCACTATGCTCATTAGGTAGGTATATTTTAGCCCTGTCACGCCATACTTAACACCCGCCATATATACATACCTCTCTTTGAGGATGGACTGATGAGTGGTGACATGACCGGGGATTTTTTTTGTGCCTAAACGGGCGGATGGACTCTTATTAAGCAAAGACTACATACGTTTTATCAATAGAGGATATTGAATTAGTGTAAGTTCAATACTGAATTTATTGCAAGATTTGAATAAAATTATATTATGCAAGCCTCTGGCGAGCATAAAATTATTTTAATCAACGAGTGCAATAAATTCAGTAATGAACTTACACGAATTTAATATTTTATTTATCATATACCCAAAATAAAGACCGTTTAAAGTGAAATAAGAGTCATTTTCCAGTAGAACGCTAACATTTTAGCGCGTCTTTACAACGCTAATGACGTCACGTCAAAATATACGCACGGCCGTGCAATACCATATTTACGAAGTCGCAAAATCGGCACGGGTGTGTGATAATTTTCTTTAACACAAATCTTCTCAAATTGAATTAAGGAACTACACGTAGACAATCAATTTATATATTGTTGGAAAATATTGATTGTCTACATATATATATATTGTTGGAAAATATTGATTGTCTACGTGTAGTTGTATATGTATATGTACTTTATGCATATTATACTAAGTATACAATTGGACCAGTACACGATTATATACACAGTCAACCCTGTATCCCCATATTGGACGAGGCTCTCGCTAGAGTAATGACCTCTTAAAATGAAGACACATTATGTCATAACTTTTTTTCTTAAAATACAGTAAGAATTGGATATGTCTTATGAACCCTGAAATATAAAAACGAGTCTTAATGGAGTATAATATGCATTCGATGTAAATGTTTTGACTGTACAAAAGAGGTAAAATATGCATTTGATATAACGTTTGGTCCATGAAATTGTAAAAACGATGTTGAATTGCATCCAGTAATGATTTCAATTGAAACATGATGTGGTGCAAACAATGCAATATCACTTTTAATCCTCAAACAGTGGATGGGAACTGGGCTAGCTGGTCCCCGTGGTCTACATGTGACGTCACTTGTGAAAATGGGACCCAGACAAGAACAAGACAATGTTCCGATCCTCCTCCGGCAAATGGAGGACTTGATTGCATCGGAACACATACTGACATTAAGGCATGCTCAAAACAACTTTGTCCAGGTATGAATTAAGCATAACAATAATGGCAAATTGATAAACATGTCAAGTATTACGCATTCAAAAACAATTACAAATGATTATATCTCATCCAAAACCAAATATTAATTAATCTGAAAAAAATATTTATTGTTTATCTTTATTTCTGGCATGATCTAGACTAATAATATATGTCATACGTTGCTGTTCGGGCCGGAATATCCGTTGCGAGGGGACCCGCCCATTGGGCGGTCAAGAGGCTTGCCGAGTTACCGCCCATGGACGGGTTCCCGAGGAACGGATATTCCGATCCGAACCGCAAACATATGTCAGATATTTTTTCTTGCATATTCTGCCATATTATTTCATATTTAAAATGCCTTACCTCAATATGATATATGTTCATGGAAATTAAAGTCATTTCATCCATAACTATTTTCTTACAATAGCGTATGAACTTACAACTTAAATAACAACGGTGAAATGAAGTCATCCTAAGCACATATTTCCCTTCTAAAACGACGTCATTTTAACGCGGTTCATTCATTAAGCGCGCTTAAATGACGTTGGCACGTTTGGCACGCGACTCATATGGCACCCCCATGCCAGATGAAATTTCCTGCATGGGTAAATATCACGGAAATGCCAGTCTGCTATGCAAGAAAAACTGGATACACTTGAGTTTCACATTCTCATCCTTTAACAGGAGATGATGATGAATGTTGTAAAGCTTGTTAAAAATTTCATTTTTAAATGTCATGATCTTGCAGACCGTTTAAACTCAGTTCCATCCAAAAAATTGATCGATTACTTAAGCAAATATACTTGTATTCTAGGATTTTATTAACTCATTTTATTAGCAATAATTCACCGCAGACTTTATAATCACATTTTAAGAATTCGGTGTACGGTGCGGTATAACCAGAAATGTGACAATGTGCCATTTAACTCAAATGAACAAGCAAACAAATATTCTTAATGAAATATATTTCTATATAAACTAAATATATATAGTTTAAAAGAGACACTTTCATTTTGAATAGCTTATATTTTTCAAAGTACATGGTGGGTGGACTCAATGGTCAAGCTGGGACGCGTGTTCTGTAACTTGTGGTGTAGGTATAGAAAGGCGACATCATAATTGCTCGAACCCGATACCAGACAGAAACGGACTTCAATGTTTCGGCGACACATTAGATGATAGAATATGCTTACCGGGTCCATGTGCAAGTAGGTTTATCTACACATTAGATTATAGAATATGCATACCGGATCCATGTGCAAGTAGGTTTATATACACTTTAGATGATAGAATATGTTAACCAGGTCCATGTGCAAGTAGGTTTATATACACATTAGATTATAGAATATGCTTACCGGGTTCATGTGCAAGTAGGTTTATAAACACATTAGATGATGAAATATGCTTTCCGGACACATGTGCAAGTAGGTTCATCTACACATTAGATGATATAATATGCTTACCGAGTCGATGCGCAAGTAGGTTTATCTACAAGCTAGATGATATAATATGCTTACCGGGTCAAGCGCAAGTAGGTTTATGTACACATTAGATATTAATAGAATATGCTTACCGGGTCCATGTGCAAGTATGTTTTGTATTTGAAGATAAAAACGTTACGAAGTAGAAATTACGTTTATGTTGCGTCCAACTACTTCTATCGTTAGGTTTGTGTCCTCATATTATTGAACGAGGGAGATCATATAATGCTTTTCCACGGCGACATGTACAACCAAATATCTCCTAAGTACCTTACGATGAAACATGTATTTTAAAATCTGTCAGTATATTGTTTAAAGAGACAGGTATATCAATCAAATAAGATGCTTGTTATTTAAGATGGTGGTTGGACAGGCTGGGGACAATGGAACACCTGTTCAGTGACGTGCGGGGACGGTATAAAGTCTAGATCGCGTACCTGTACAAACCCGTCACCCTCGCCTCATGGAAAATATTGTAAAGGAGATTCTATAGAAGTTGATTCTTGTAGAAAAATCAGATGCAGTATGTTTATATATCTATTTGTAAACATTTTTATTTCAAGTCCGTACTAGCTCGTATTGAGATGACAATGTAACTTAACTTCCTGTTTATTTATTTTGTTTTCTTATCGAAATATCTAGATAAAACAAATTAAATGTATTTAATTTTATGATATTAGCACCATAATGGAAGATAGCCCTCGAAATACCTTAACGCGCCTGTAATAAACCATTTGAATCCTTCTTTCTTTCTTAAAAAACTGTTCGTTCGTGTAAGAAAATAAGCATTTAACTATTTTTAAATACACGTGACTCAGGTCGTCAAGTTTGAAAAACTGACTGCAATGACGACTCAGTGTTAATCAAATTTCATCACAGGAGCGTGTTTAATGCATAACGAACTCAGTTTTTATGTGAAAAACAAATATTGAAACACGGAAGATTCTGTCTGAACAAAAATAACAGCTGTAGTATGTGATAACAAGTATAAAGCCTCCATTAACAAATCATACTGCTTTAGGTTTAATTGCAAAACTTCGTGTCATCGTGACAACATGTTTTTCGTCATAATTGATGCAAGATATCGGTATAAATAATGAGTTGGTGATTTTAGATTGTGTGCTGATTTTTGAAAAAAAAAGACTAAAATGTCAGTGAAAGCGAAGGTGCAAGTATTTATAACAAATTTTATTTTATAGGACCAAATATAGTATTTAAAGCCAAGGGTGTAACAAGCACTAGTCCTGGCGATGGAGGAACTATAATATTTGGCTCTACATTTATTAATGAAGGGAATGCTTATAATACATCTACTGGAATCTTCACTGCGCCAGTCAACGGAACGTACTCATTTAGTTTACAATTGTGTACAAATATCAACAACTATTTCCTCACGGCTATTATGATAGATGGGACAACATTTGCTACCTTATATGTTTATGATAAATATGTGTATTCATGTAATAGTACAGACACGGTTGCTGTTTTACATGAACATTCAAAAGTATTTGTTAAATGCACTGCTCATTGTGTCAATGCTGTATATCAAGATGGCTTTCATATGAACTCATTCTCTGGATATCTGGTTCACCAGTAAACTTATCTTTTTTGTCACTTTTGTCTTTTATTTTATTCTTACTTGTATATGATAAATAGAGGATATTGAATGAGTGTAAGTTCAATACTAAATTTATTGCACGAGTTGAATAAAATTATATATTGCGAGCCTCTCTGGCGAGCATAATATTATTTTATTCAACGAGTGCAATAAATTCAGTGATGAACTTACACGAATTTAATATTCTATTTATCACATACCCAAAATAAAAACCGTTTAAAGTGAAATAAGAGTCATTTTTCATTGACGCGCCTACAGTATAATGCTTACATTTAGCGCGTCTTTACACTATGTTTGTATAACGCTAATGACGTCACGCCAAAATATATGCACGGCCGTGCAATACCATATTTACGGAGTCGCAAAATCGGCACGAGTGTGTGATAAAGATGTGTATCTATGTAATAGTGCAGATACAGTTGCTGTTTAACATGTACATTCAAAAGTACTGTATTTCTTACAACTTTCACGGAGACAATATTTCGTGTTTTCATAAGGATAGCGTTTTCGCGGAGTGTTTGTTAAATTCACATATGGTTGTTATAATTATATGAAGATATTGACCATATGAACTCGTTCTCTGGATAACTAATTAACCAATAAACTCCTGTTTGGTGTCATTATTTTAAGATGCAATCATTATTATGCTTTTATTTGTTCGTATAAGTAGTCTAAAGTATATGGTAAATCTGTAGCTCTGTCCTTTATTTTGTCATTCATTTTCTTTAAGATTCGCATTTATTCAGAGCAAAATTTAAGCAGCAATTATGCTAAGGGTTATTGCAAAAGGAATTAATAATTTGATTGTAAAAATAATGGACGGATGTGTTTCAGACCAGCGTTATACATTAACCCCTAACCTGCCGAGAGCGACCAAATCTGCTTGGTATTGACGAGAGCGACCACATCTGCTTGGTATTTCTAAGAGGCGACCAAATCTGCTTGGTATTTCTGAGAGCGACCAAATCTGCTTGGTATTTTCTGAGAGCGACCAAATCTGCTGGGTATTTCTGAGAGCCGAGCCACATCTGCTAGGTATTTCTGAGAGCGAGCAAATCTGCTTGGTATTGCTAGAGCGATTAAATCTGCTGGTATTTCTGAGAGCGACCACATCTGCTAGGTATTTCTAAGAACGACCAAATTCTACTGATATTTCTAAGGAGCGACCAAATCTGCTTGGTATTTCTGAGAGCGACTAAATCTGCTTGGTATTGCTGATAGCGATCAAATCCCTGCTTGATATTTCTGAGAGCGACCCATCTGCTAGGTATTTCTGAGAGCGAGCAAATCTGCTTGGTATTGCTGAGAGCGATTAAATCTGCTTGGTATTTCTGAGAGCGACCACATCTGCTAGGTATTTCTAAGAACGACCAAATCTACTTGATATTTCTAAGAGCGACCAAATCTGCTTGGTATTTCTGAGAGCGATCAAATCTGCTTGGTATTTCTAAAAGCGACCAAAGCTGCTTGATATTCTGAGAGCGACCACATCTGCTACTGTATTTCTGAGAGCGAGCCAAATCTCTTGGTATTGCTGAGAGCGATTAAATCTGCTTGGTATTTCTGAGAGACGACCACATCTGCGTAGGTATTTCTAAGAACGACCAAATCTACTTGATATTTCTAAGAGCGACAAATCTGCTTGGTATTCTAAGCGACCAAATCTGCTTGGTATTTATAAGAGCGACCAAATCTGCTTGATATTACTGAGAGCGACCAAATCTGCTTGGTATTTCTTGAAGCGACCACATCTGCTTGGTATTTCTGAGAGCGACCACATCTGCTAGGTATTTCTGAGCGGGAGCTAAATCTGCTTGGTATTGATTGAGAGCGACCAAATCTGCTTGGTATTTCTGAGAGCGCACAAATTCTGCTGGGGTATTTCTGAGAGGCTAACCAACATCTGCAGGTATTTCTGAGAGCGAGCAAACTCTGCTTAGGTATTTCTGAGAACGAACCACATCTGCTTGGTATTTCAAAGAGCGACCACATCTGCTTGGTATTTCTGAGAGCGACCAAATCTGCTGGGTATTTCTGAGAGCGACCAAATCTGCTGGGTATTGCTGAGCGCGACCAAATCTGCTTAGTATTTTTGAGATCGACCAAATCTGCTTGGTATTTCTGAGAGCGACCAAATCTGTTAGGTATTTCTGGTTAGCGACCACATCTGCTTGGTATTTCTGAGAGCGACCAAATCTGCTTGGGGTATCATTTCTGGGAGCGACCAAATCTGCTAGGTATTTCTGAGAGCGACCAAATCTGCTGGGTATTGCTAAGCGCGACCAAATCTGCTTAGTATTTCTGAGAACGACCAAATCTGCTTGGTATTTCTGAGAGCGACCAAATGTGTAAGGTATTTCTGAGAGCGACCAAATCTGGTAGGTATTTCTGAGAGCGACCAAATCTGCATGGTATTTCTGAGAGCGCCAAATCTGCTGGGTATTGCTAAGCGCGGCCAACCTGCTTTGTATTTCTGAAAGCGAGCAAATCTGCTTGGTATTGCTGAGAGCGACCAAATCTGCTTGTATTTCTGAAAGCAAGCAAATCTTCTTGGTATTGCTGAGAGCGACTAAATCCAATTGGTATTGCTGAGAGCGATCAATTCTGCTTGGTATTTCTGAAAGCGAGCAAATCTGCTTGGTATTGCTGAGAGCGACCACATCTGCTTGCTATTGCTAAGAGCGACCAAATCTGCTTCTATTTCTGAAAGCGAGCAAATCTTCTTGGTATTGCTGAGAGCGACTTAATCCAATCGGTATTGCTGAGAGCGATCAAATCTGCTTGGTATTGCTTAGTGCGAGCAAATCTTCTTGGTATTGCTGAGATCGACCACATCTGCTTGGTATTTCTGAGAGCGACTACATCTGCTTGGTATTTCTGAAAACGACCAAATCTGCTTGGTATTTCTGAGAGCGACCAAATGTGTTTGGTATTGCTGAGAGCGACCAAATCTGCTTGGTATTACTTAGTGCGACCACATCTGCTTGGTATTGCTGAGATCGACCACATCTGCTTGGTATTTCTTAGAGAGACCGCATGTTTGGTATTGCTGAGAGCGACCACATCTGCTTGGTATTACTTAGTGCGACCACATCTGCTTGGTATTGCTGAGAGCGACCACATCTGCTTGGTATATCTTAGAGAGACCGCTTTTGCTTAGTATTGCTGACAGAGACCAAATCTGCTTAGTATCAGAACAGATGACGTGTGTCTTGTCAGGTACCAATCAGCTTGGCAAGCTTTTTATGATATTTTTAAGTTTTAATAATAAAAGTGTTGAAAGGTTGAGTTGCATAACCCAAAAGTCTTGTATAGCTTGGAGTAAGCAAATTTACAGTTTCCTTCTTTGCTAATTACTGGAACTGATTTAAATACTGCAAAGGTGTGGTGCTTTAATTGCATTGCTGTATAATATAAAAATGAAAGCATAACATAGATATACAGCAGATAAAAAATATCATTAATAGGTTTTCAATAACTCGATAAAACAAAACTGATGATGATTTATTAATGGGAAAATATTCTTCTCAATAAAGTGATATATTCAACCGTAAGAATCTGTTTAAACTACATAAAAACGCGTATTTAAAGGTCACATTGTTGAACCCCTGTGAGAGTGTTAAAACGTGTAATAAATAATTAATTTCATTTCATAAATTAGAGCATCCAATTAAGATGTGATCAAATTTTATAAATAAGACAAGTGTAGAGACAAAAAATCATATTAAATTGTTATGCCGTAATATTCCTGAAATGATAGTAAATGGTTCAGAAAAACATATCTTTTTTTTTTGCCGTATTAGTTCTGGACTTTAACAAACGGGTGGCACATTTTAGTTCAATGCTATTTTATTCAAAGATTTGGCAAGAACTGCTATATAATTATTTACACATTTTAAAACTAATTGCACAATTATGCAGTTTCAGTAAATGTAAATATAAGTAACTTGAGAACAATGTTTATTATAACAATGCAATTGAATTTCTCGAATTCGGCTTTAACAGTATGTAAACTTTGCCTTATATACCTAATGAAAAGAGGCACACACAAATAAAAATGTATTTCTGCATCGTAGACGGGCAACTACGTGTGCGCATAAAATTGATTAATGCGTTTTGTTCTTTATAGCATATTTCACGAATAAAATGTTATGACTTTAAAATGAACAATACAAAGTTACACCGCTATGATGTCTTAATACTTAAATATTTTAAATCCACAGGGTAAGCAAAGCCGTTGAATGCCCTTACCAAAAAAAGGGCTCTCTGGTGAACATTGCGGCAAGTTTGCCGCAAACATTGCGGTGAGTTTGCGGCAAACTGCTTTCAGCAATTATTTACCATGCAAATGAGGTTTGCGGCAAATTTGCCGCAACTCATGAGGTTAGCGGCAAACTTGCCGCTAACTATAGGGGGAGGTAGCTTCTGTTTGCGGCAAATTTACCGCAAACCTCATTTGCATGGTAAAAGTTTGCAGATGTTCGCCAAAAGTTTGCGGCAAATTTGCAGCAAACTTCATTTGCATAGTAAGTTTGCGGATGTTCGCCAGAAGCTTTTGGTAACACTGCGGCAAACTTCATTTGCATATTTGCCAGTTTCAGCAAATATGTTATGGCGATATTTTGGCAAACATTTTGGTAAAGTTCTGGCGAACAATTTTTTCAAACACTGGAATAATAAAAACTAGCTGAATTATAAGAAAACAAATACATATTGGTTTAACACATTTTTTCAATAGAAAATAAAAGAAATATTACAAACATATCAGTAGAATAAAATGAAATTTGATAAACTTGTAAAATAAAGAAATTAATTCCCAAAGAGATAAATTTTACACACATTTTATTAGCAACTGATTCTATACATATTTGACTTTCATAAATTTCCACTCTTTAGTTATGATGCTATCATGAATTGTTCATATTACTTAATAATCAATTAAAACAAGAGCCGGTTGAACCGGGGTGATCCTAGATACAGAAAAGTATATCTTTTGAAGTTTCAGGGTTATGTCCCAGACAAAGTTCAAAGTGTGATAATTCCAAAATAGTTGTAAAATCCCACTTTAAATAACGACGCTATGGGCCGTACACATTTTTGCTTCAAGGTCATGCTGTGACCTAGACCTTCAAGGTAATGACCCAAATGTTGCATGTGACATATCGTCTCAATATGGTGATCATTTCGGTGAAATAGTTGTAAAATCCGACTTCAAATAACGAATTTATGGGCCGGACACGATTTTGCTTCAATGTCATGTTGCGACCTTGACCTTCAAGGTATTGACCCAAATGGTGTGTGCGACACATCGTCTCAATATGGTGATCATTTCTGTGAAATAGTTGTAAAATCCGACATCAAATAACCAAGTTATGGGCCGGCACAATTTTTGTTTAAGGTCATGCTGTGACCTTGACCTTCAAGGTAGCGACCCAAATGTTGCGGGCGACAGGTCGTCTCAATATGGTGAGCATTTCTGTGAAATAGTTTTAAAATCCAACTTGAAATAACAAAGTTATGGGCTGGACACGAATTCAGGTTCGTATGTACGTACAGACAGACGGACAGACAACCCAATGACTATATGGTCCGCCGAAATTTTTCGGGGAGCATATAAACAATGTTTGACAATAGCTATTATTCAGCACATGTTGCAGTATTTCTTAGCACCATAAATGGGAAATATAATATTGTTGTAAAAGATAAAAATCAGAAAAGTTACAGTTTGAAATCTTCTATCTGGACAAAAAGTTTCATTCAAACATGAACTGGCATGGATTAACATACATACTTCGACATCCACTTAGACAAATCACTATTAATAACAATAAATACTAACAATAGCGTTATGTGTTATGCAAAAACAGACTAGACCAATAATGGCTTTCAAAATTGTAAAAATGAATCTCAAAAATATATTTTGGTCTTAAACAAACAACATATTTCATGGACATAATACCTTCAGATTTAAACTCATATGTCATATAACATTATGATTGTGAGCAAAACAATATCTGACACGAACAATTATGGCTTTCAAAATTGTTAAAATTAATCACAACAATATATTTGGGTCTTATACAAACAACGAATTTCATAGACATAATTTTTTGTTTGCTTGTTTTGGGTTTTTACGTCACATCAACACAGTAAAGGTCATATCGTGACGTTCAGGTGCCCTTCCTTGCATTATTTCAGGCACGAACGGGTATCTGAGTAGAACCACTGACGTTCAGTTAAGCTAGCTGGATAGCTTCCTCACAAGACAGATTCCAAAGTCCCTGTCGGGATTCCAACCCACAGCGGTGAGGGGCAAGTGGTTTGAAGTCAATGACCTTAACCACTCGGCCACGGACGCCCCTCATAGACATAATAACTAAAGATTTAAACTAAATGTCTTTAGTCATGTCATATAACAATTGCAAGCAAAACAAAAACAAACTAGAGCAATAATGGCTTTCAAAATTGTAAAAATGAATCTCAACAATATTTTTGGGTCTTATACAAATATAGACATAACTATTAAAGATTAAAACTAAATGTCTTTAGCCATGTAATATAATGATTGCAAGCAAAACAAAAACTGACTAGAACAATAGTGGCTTTCAAATTTGTAAAAATGAATCTTAACAATATATTTTGGTCTTATACAAACATAAACATAATAACTGAAGAATAAAACTAAATGTCTTTAGTCATGTCATATAGCGATTGCAAGCAAAACAAAAACTGACTAGACAATATCGTAAGTTTGCATGAAATTGGCTTGGCAATTTATGAGATGTTGTTTAAAGATCAAGTTTACGGACGAAAGATAGACAAAAGCTCGCAATGTCACTTTGTTAGCTAAAAACGCACTACTTTACTCTTTCACTCTTCCAAGTTTCAGTGCCCTGGCCATTGTGTGTATTTTGGTGTTGACTGCTTTGGTGACTAAGCTTCTCTCCATATTTAGTTTATTGGTGCAGTACACTGAAAAAAACAAGGTTTATTTTTCATTTCCATGTTACCATGTTTATACTGGATAAAACTAGAACTATCACTGAAGGTGAATGATACCCCAAAACCCCACTTTGAAGTAAAGTGGCAGTAATCTATTAGTAAAGCCCACCTACAAATGAAGAAAATAAACACCAAAGGCAATTATTATTTATTGCTGGCTTGATTTTGATCTGTTGGGATGAACATGTATTTGCATTGCAAAACCTAGATTTATTTACAAATGACAAGTGGCTCATATATTATAAGTTTATCTAACTTAGTTAAGAAATCAAGGTATCATGTTAAAAAAACACCAAAATAACAAACAAGAGCGATCAGTGATCACATGTGTCGCCTCATGATGGCCAATTTCATGTTGGGACAAGTTTTGTGACAGACAGACAGACAGTGCACAACTAGACTTGGTACTGATCATTCCTTTAAAGTTTGGATGAAATTGCACCAGTAGTTTTTGAGGAGTAGTCCGGACAAGCTTTTATGTATCTGGCAACACACAGAAAAAAAAACCCACCTTTTCATCAAACTTGCCAAAATATCATTCAACCGGAAAACCTGTGCAATATGTGCAAGGACTTGAGCAACAGATCAATCCTGTAAAGTTTCATTGAAATTGCATTTGTGGTATAATAGATGTAGTCCGGACAAACTTAAAAAAAGGGCCATACCTCTGACAAAAATCATTGAACCGGAAAATGCTGACAATATGCACAACTAGACTTGGTACTGATCATTCCTGTAAAGTTTTGATGAAATTGCACCAGTAGTTTATGAGGAGTAGTCCGGACAAGTTTTGTGACGGGAAACACACAGAAAAAAAACACACCTTTTTATCAAAGGGCCATAACTCGGCCAAAAATCATTCAATCGGAAAACCCATGAAATATGCACAAGGACTTAAGCTACAGATCAACCCTGTAAAGTTTCATTGAAATTGCATTAGTGGTATAAGAGAAGTAGTCAAGACAAACTTTAAAAATAAAAATTATTAAAGGGCCATAACTCTGACAAAAATCATTAAACCGGAAAATGCTGACAAAATGCACAACTAGACTTGGTACTGATCATTCCTGTAAAGTTTGGATGAAATTGCACCAGTAGTTTATGAGGAGTAGTCCGGACAAGTTTTGTGACGGAGGACAGATAGACAAGACGACGGAGAAATGATCCCTATATGTTGCCACTACTCCATAGAGGCGACACAAAAATGAACCATGCTGTGAACATGACAGCTAGGTCAGAACTCAAAGTTAAAACCAGGGTAATTCAAATAACCATTAGGATTTTTCTTCTAAATGCCACTGTTTGAAAGAACAATGTTGACTAACCAGTCTTACTTGTATGCAAAACTCACTTTTTCAATTATACATCAATAACAGTGGTTAAAATATACACAGATACTTTTCTAAATCATTACTGACATGATGACTGAGAAAAACTTGAAATGTGTCAATAAAACACGGATGCCCCCACACGCCACTGTTCTGTCAATCTTATGACTCTAGGTCAAATAGTTTTTGGACTACATGTGCCACAAGTTGAAAACTAAAAATCAACAAAGGGCCATTATTCTGTTTAATTTAGTTGCAGAAAAAATTCCTTCCTTTACTACCATCTACACATTAAGTTTGTTAATCCCTGGAAGTTTAAGCAAAATCTGCCATCCGGTTTAAGAGGAGTTGCGTTCACAAGATTTTGGGACAGACTGACAAGTGCCACGCTATATGCTCCCACATTGTGGGGGGATAAAAATAATCTTATTTTACTTACATGTTAAACTGTCAAATCCTCTTTTGTGCCAGGCAGTATCTACTGCACTGGACATACCACTGCGGGTTTTACAGGGAAATTTCGGGGAAAGTCTTAATCTGCTGTGAGGTTTTTTAAGATGTGGACCACTTCTGATTTGTTTTCAACCTTTGACTGTCTGTGAGAACTGTAATTGTAAAAATATATTTCAAAAATATTTTCTGTATTTTAAAATTCATCTTTAAACGTAATATTGACAAATATTGAAGATTGAACACCAATGAATTGACAATAACATATTTATAATTAATGTAACACAATGTTCATACAGTTACTAGAATAAGTTTTGTTAATTATTAATGCTAATTGCACGACTTTTTCCAGACCAATTTTAGTAATCACTTTTATGAAATAATTCGGACTGCATATCGATTATTCATCACATGAAGATACATCAAATTGTTTCTATTGAAGACGACTCCAAATAGCATTACAAAATTATCACAGTATTATCATTTAATTGCTACACCATGATTATAAATATATATAAAAATAACCTCATAGATTTCAACTTACAGTTTAATAGGCATTTTTGTTTGATGTATTGTTGATGATTGTTAATCACAATTGTATAAATCTGACCATTCACTGTCATTTTTTAACTGTAGCATCTGACTGATGAATAGACCTTGAATAAAAAAAAATACATATGTACAAACAGTATATGGAGAGATATTCATATATTGAAGCAACTGACATAACACAAACAGTTCAACAACACCAGTCAGTTTTGCATAGTCCTTTACTTTCGTAAATAAACAAAATACAGAAAACAAACTACCAGTACTCACTTTAGTGCTGGCAAACATCTGGCAAAGGACATCCTCCGAGATCTTGTCAATAAGATCTTCCATGATCTTGTGTTCTGATACCATTGATTCTTCATGATGCACATCCCTTAAAAAAGAATGCATGTATTTAATATGAATTTTAGTCTTAAACCAATGAAGGTAAAATATGATAAACAAGATCAACAAGGAAAGGCGGCGTTCAATGAACGCAACCCCCATATGACCAAGCAACAAGTACCAATGGCAAGGAGCCCAGGCGGACCCAGTTTGTCATGTAGAAATAAATACTTTTTTAAAAAAACAATTACACATTCATGTTATTTTGAAAAAAGAAATATGTACATGAATATAGAGTAATATTCTTTGGTTCCCTAAACCACGAGTGTGCCAGCAATATAGGATTATACCATGATAAGCTGCATAGACATATAATTACAAAATAATTTTTGAAATTCTTCCAATTCAAGTACATGTTATTTCGAAAATATCATTGTAAATTTTATGTAAATGTGTCTTACTCCATTTCCTTGATCTTATGCAGCAGATTCTGTCGGCATAGAAGCCAGTGCTGTCTCAATGATATTTCCAACACGTCTCTCCATTTCTTTTCATGTTTTTATTTCCAATTGTTGGTATATTTAGTGTTGACAACAAATTGTTGACCCTCACCGGCCCACCTACACTATCAATCATTGCTGTAAGAAAATGAAAGAAACAAATTATTTCATTAAAGTATACAAATATTTTGTCCAAAAAAAACTTCACATGGATTGTAATTTACATAACCGTGATAATAACACATTGCATAAATTAATATAGAGCTATTTTTAGCTGCCTCATGTACGTTTAATATTAGTACTACTGTGACTGTGTGTATTGGCAGCATAGTGTAAACTGTGTCTTTTATATAATGTACATGTAGGATTCTGTTATGTCTTTTACTAAAAATTGCATTGTTGCAAGATTTAATTTAGCAACGTTTTATCATTTGTTTTTTCAAATTTTCTCAGTGACTTTGGGGAAATTAAAACAGTTCAGAGGGAAGTTTATAAAACATTTCACAATAGGAAGTGGCTAGCCGTACGGCTAGCCAAAAGTTCTAGCCGTACGTGAGTCACGTACGACTAGCCAGGACACACTGTATTGGCTAGCCGTACGGCACTTTTCAAAATTATATGGAGTATGTGAGTCACGTACAGGCTAGAACTTTTGGCTAGCCGTATGGCTAGCCACTTCTTTCACAATAAGGAGTAGTGTTTTACAGCTAAACACAAAACAAGATACATGTATTCTGTATAATAAATTAATTATTTAAAAATCTGAAACATAAAATTTGGTCCGCATAATTTTACATGTTTGACATCATTGGAAGACAAGTAAATAAACACTGATAAATCATAATGTATCGATATATTCATTTTGGTACGAGACATTACATCTATGAATTCATTATCAGTATATAGTACTTAATGTAAAACTATGATGCAATACATTAATCACTACCTGTTCCTAATTTTTGTGTTGACAACGAAACATGGCATTCCAACTTTCACAGGTCTTCAATCTACTAGAGTCTGTGTGTTTTTCCATGGGTCCTACTAAACACTGCTAAGGACTGCTAAGGACCGCTAAGGACTGCTAAGGACTGCTAAGGAGCCACAAAGGGACTACTAAAGAGGCACAAAGGACCTTAAAATACCTCCTAGGCCATTCTTATATTACATGGTATTATTTTTAGTGAAAAAAAAAATTTATAATTTTAAGAAAAAAAATATGATTTTGGTGAAAATTTTATGAGCTTGTCGGACCGCTAAGGACTGCTTCAGATACACAAAGACTGCTAGGGAGGCACAAAGGACCTTAAAATACCTCCTAGGCATTCTTATAAATACAAGGTAGTATGTTTAGTGACAAAAAATGTATTTATTTTAAGAAAAAATATCATTTTAGTGATAAAATTCATGTTTTTGAAGAGTTGTCGGACCGCTAAGGACTGCTCAGGTGCACTAACAACTGCTAGGAGGCACAAAGGACCCTTCAAATCCCTCCATAGAACATTTTATAAGATATGGTAGTAAGTTAATAGACAAAAATGTATTATTGTAAGAAAAAAATATAATTTTGGTGATAGAATTTATGCTTTCGATGAGTTGCAGGACCGCTAAGGGACTGCTCAGGTGCGAAAAAGGACTGCTAGGCAGGCACAAAGACCTATAAATATTTCCTAGGGAGGCACAAAGGACCTTAAAAAATAACTGTTGGGGCATTCTTAATAATTCATGTAGTATGTTTAGTGACAAAAAATGTATAATTTTAAGGGAAAATATCATTATAGTGATTAAAAATTCATGTTTTTGAAGTTGTCGGACCGCTAAGGACTGCTCAGGTGCACTAACAACTGCTAGGGAGCACAAGGACCTTCAAATCCCTCCTAGAACATTCTTATAATATATGGTAGTAAGTTAATAGACAAAATGTATTATTGTAAGAAAAAATATAATTTTGGTGATAGAATTTATGCTTTCGATGAGTTGCAGGACCGCTAAGGACTGCTCAGGTGCAAAAGATGCTGGGCAGGCACAAACCCTATAATTTTTCCTAGGAGCACAAGGGGACCTTAAAAAAACTTTGGGGGCATTCTTAAATTTCAGGGTAGTATTTAGTGACAAAAAAGTATAATTTTAAAAAAAAATTCATTTGGAAAAAAATTTCATTTTTTTGAAGAAGTCATTTTTACATCACATTTTAACACATAATTTTGATAATTTTATTTAAATTTTCCTTGCCCAAAAATTCCATTAGGTTTAAAACCTAATAAATTTTTGTCAAACAGTTGAAGCAAAAAACAAAAAAATTTAAGTGGAAAAGGGTAACAAAAAAATTTTATCATTTGAAAAAAATTCTGAAAAAAAGGACATAAATTTTAAAAACATAATGTAAATGACATTGTATTGAAAATTTGACTGATACATTACATTTTTATAAGCATCAATAGTTTTGTTTTCTAAATGCTCCTATGTGAGAAATTTTCTTGTCAAATCAAAACAAAAAACATAAAGAAGTGAAGTTAAGGTAAGTAAGTTAAGAACAATTTTTTGAGGCAACAAGTTGGAAACCTTAGGTTTTCCCCCGTGAGGCTAACAATGACAAGATTTAAAAATACAAAATCAAAAAAGATTAAAATATTATAATAAACAAAGATTTGTAAATACTTTCAACAGAGATCAACTTTGAAAAATGAAAAGTTATGAAAAGGGATTTGAAATTTAATAATGTTCATACATACTTCATTAATCATTAATCAATAAATTAAGCTATAGAAAGTGTTTCAATTTCAATTATTAAATTAATTTGTCAAACACTAGTCTTGTATGTATAATTACAATGTATCATATAAATCTATATTATACTTGTTTGTTAATGTTTATGCTGTTCTTGCCGAAACAAAACACAAGAACAACAAAATCATTTGTCAGTCAAATTCAGCTATAGAAAGTGTTTCAACTTCAATTATTACAAAAATTTGACAAACACTTGTATGTATAATTACAATGTATCATATAAATCTATATTTAATACATGTATTTGAAGTTTATGCTGTTCTTGCCGAAAAAAACACAAGAACAACAAAATCATTTGTCAGTAAATTCAGCTATAGAAAGGTGTTTCAACTTCAATTATTACAACAAAATTTTGACCAAACACTTGTATGTATAATTACAATGCTATCATATAAATCTATATTTACAGTTACTTGTTTGTTAATGTTTATGTTGTTCTTTGCCGAAACAAAAACACAAGAAAACAAAATCATTGTCAGTAATTGTATGCAATTATAAGTGGTTTGATTTAAGGTGACAACAGACACTTCCGTGGTACTCACATAAATGTCATTTAAACCAAGTTATTTTAGTAATGATTGTTATTTATTTGATCTTTGTGCATTAAATGTCGTTGATCATCATAAAAAATAACATATTTGAAAAAAATTGCCTTTTGTAAATGATTGATTTTGAATAAAAATCCTAAAATTTTAAATCGGTCATTATCAAAATCATTTTTTTATTTTTTTGTCATCAAAAACTTTTGGAAAATAACCATAGTTATATATCTGGGGAACCGTGTCTCAAAAATTTTTTCTATCTTTTTCTCAAAAAAATATTACGTAACGTCAAACTTTTTTTATGCGACTTTTTCACCATACATATTACGTAATTAAAGATAATTAGTCGCTGATTGAGCAAACAAAAATCCTGACACGGTTCCCTCCGTAAATGAATTTCCCCTTCATGTGCTTTAAAAACCGCATGTTAATTGCTTGATTATTAAAAAAGTTGGGCCGATTCAAAGTTAGTCCGACACGCATCAAACGAAGTGTCATAAATCGGCTGTTCTCTCTCGGACCCCTACGTTTTACGCTAAATAATTGCATAATACACAAATATCGCACCAGAGAGGGTCACAAGTTGCGGTAACATACTCTAACAACATTTCATGACCCAGTGACATCTGACCAATTAAAAAGCTGCTGATTAATATCAGTTTATAGCCGAAATTTCTTCAATTCTTAACGTGATTTACTGTCCGTCTGGTATCTGTCGCACATGTCACGTGACTATCGTAAAATTTGAGGCACTCAGTGGGGGAAATGGAACGCAATTTGCGCACGCTAGCGGGGTATTAATTTTTTCCTTTTTGAAGTTTATTATCATTAGCATTATTATTGTATTACACCAGTGTCACTCTGCCTGTGTATTCGTGTATGAAATTCCGTTAAAATATAAAAATAAATAACAAAAACTGAGCTTCTCGACAGTCTATTAAAGTCCATGGTAGATGTAACAAATAAGGAAACGGGATATTATATATTTTGTTCCACCAAATTGATAATGCTTCACATATTTTAATAGAAATAAAAGGTATTACTCGATCATTATGATCTGGCCTTCTTGACTTCTATTATGAATATCATCTATGCACGGCATAGAGATCCAGTTTCTACCGGGATAGACAATACATTTTATTCTTTGTCCCAGATTTATTAGTACTGTGTCCGATTTACTGGCGAACAATTTATTTTCACTGAGAATATATTTTAATATCTTTCTTTTTTTATTCATAGAGAAATAATCATCCATAGACAATCTAAAATGGTTTAGAAATGTCAGGGACACCTTACCACAAGTCATATAGGCGTTCACATAAAAATGTGTTTTGTTGTTGTTTTACTTGACATTGTTAGAAAAACGAGGTTGAATGTAAGTAAGCCCTTGAATCCGCTACAAAATCTATCAACTCAAATGTAATATCTATCAATTTAACGGGACAGACAAATTATTTTTTCACACATTATGGATATTTAAGCAAATACATTTTATCAACCCGTGTCGTGCGATTTGCTGCTATGCTTAATTTATTTTGTTTGCAAAAATTTCGTTACGTACATTGGCCGACAATTTGTTAATTTATAAAAAAAAGGCTAAATGTTGAGATATTTCATAAAAGATGTACGGTTTGTACATACATGTATTACGAGAAGTATGGGACCAGTAGGACTTTAATTCACGGATATATGAAACACCGATTTCCCTCATTGATTTGCCTCAACAGGGGCGGAGCGTTATCGATAATCGGACAGGTTTACGCGAATAGCAGATACAAATAGTTAAGGTACCGTTTAAACAAAAACGTTAAAAACACATTTTTTTGGACTAATGCCCAAAACTAA